AAATTAAGTATGATAAACTCAACAAATATAACTTTAATAAAATAATTTGAATGAAATATGGGAACATAGATGGAAAACGTTTTTCAAAAACTGAGAGGCAAAATATTTAATGTATAGAACATTATAAAATGAGGAGGCACAAGAACTCTCCTCGCACCAATTTAGTTGGCTACTGCTTTTTGCAATCAGGTACTGAACACTGAGCAAAGCTCAGAACCAAAAAAGAAACCAGGACAGCTGTCAGACTGTAGCATTTTAAAAACTCTCATGTTGCACAAAGACTACCCTGATTACATGATGGGATGTGTGACTTCAGCAGCTCTTTCTCTCGGTCTAATCTTATCCAGCCTATAAAAAAGTGGCCTTAGTGAAGTGTGAGAACAGCAGGAGTGCAGTTTTCTACAGGCTCCCAAGAATGCTGCAGCACAAAACTTTACTCATGTCCTGGAAGGGAAAGTTTCCGGATGGGCAGCAGCCCGAGCCAGTGCCTCACCACACTGAGGAACACACTGCTCAGCGCTTGTTGTTTTTACTTCCTGCCTTTGGAGGTCATCCAGAAATGACGCAGACTGGTGCAACTCTATCTGGTGATCCTCCCCACCAATCCCTTCGTGTAGAGCAGATTATCTAAATTATTTTATCCAATGTCTGACCAGAATGAGTAACTGAAAACTGTTTGTACTAAGCCGCTGTGATGTGTTGGAGGTGGTTCCCCCGAGGCCATTTTTCTTTGTATGCCTTAAATGACAGTGTTTAAAAACACACTGAACCTGAACCACATCCACTTACATGCAGAGGAGCACAGCTTAGAGATGGAGGCATAGTTTCATGTTTGAATTTTGAGTATACAGGCAGGTCTAAACAATATATTTCTTTTACGATTGAATGCAAGTTTTGCTCAGTAGCTCTAATCAGTTACCTTGGTTGTGCACAATGTGCTGGCAGACTACCTGTATGAGCACCTAGTGAAGTTGGGTGGCATGAGAGTGTAGTTACTGCACATTGTGCCAACAGTCTTATAAGGGTTGGACTTAAAATTGAGTTTTCAGTGACTTTCACATGAAAGCTCTCTTTTCATGACTAAGAAACTACTGGCTTCTCAACTAAGAGAAACATTTTCTATTTAGACTCCAGAGCTCTGCCCTTTATGAACCTTAACGTTGTATAAATACTTTGAGTCACTTCTAGATACGAGACTCCTATTGTCCTCTGTCAGTTATATGCCATTATTTATGGGGAAGGCTCATACATCACTTTGTATTCTACAAAGAGAGGGCAACAGAGTCTCCTGCTGCTGTTTCACTAAGGGAACACCATGCCATGTAGGCAGTGGGGCACAGCCAGGTACTATCTGACAAAATAGCACCATAGCTGTAAAGAAATGGAAAAAACCTCAGGTTTTATGATTACCAACATTCATGCACTTGAAATGTTACTACTGAATTTGAAATACACATAGGTTTGTGTTCTGATGGTTGTACTTGCATGCGGCCACATGTGAAAGCATCAGAAGAGGGTTTAAGAAACGTGTGGGTTCAGAAACACACCTAAAATTCTCTGCTAGCTGAGCTTAATGAAAATAGCCTTTCCAAGAGACTGAGGACAGTTTATATGTGTACAGTCTGCACAACATCTTCTCTACTAGAATCAGATTTTTCCTTCTGCATAAAAAAAATAATCTGATAAATAATTGATTTTTGTATGCAGTCAGAATGAAAGAGTAAAGTGCACCCAAAACTTACAGAAGCTTTGTCACCTAGTCCTGGAATGGCCATATGCAATGGTTATAAGCAATCTTTTTATAATAAGAATTCGTGGCAGAAGAGTGGCACTGTTATTTGAAATACTCAAGACTACTAAATTTCTTCCCTAGTCCTCTTATAAATTTGTGTAAGGCTTTCACAGTTTGCTGCAATATGTTTCTGTGCACATGCTGCCTCCCTTTTGATGGCTTCCTGCTTTCCTTCCATGTGGGGAATAAACTCAAGGTACCTCTACTAGTTTCAAAGAAAAAAAGGGCAAGAAAAACATTTCTAGCAGAAATGTTAATTTTATCCTCTTCTCTAACCTGATTAGAACAATTAGCACTAATTAAGAGAGCTTGTAAACTTAACTCCACTCACTGAATAAATGAAATTTTGTTTGATTCATATTATGACAGGACAGAAAGCACCAGCACAGTGACTACATTACATGCTTAGCATAATGTGAGCACATCTGAGAACTGCACCATTGCTCTGGGGAACTGGTTTCACAGTCCTGGTTCATTTCTAAGCAAGTGCTCTGGGCTGATTTAATCACATGGCCTCATTGATAGATTTTCTGCACAAAGCTGAGTCACCATTTCCAACTGCTGCCCAAGAGAGAAAGTGTTACTACCAATAAAGCTCTAAGTCTGAACCCCAAAGGTCCAACCCACAATCTGAACTGAGAGTAGAAGTCCACTGTTGCACCATAACTACAAACAAATTACTTAAACCTTTCTGAAACAGAGACATAACTTTGCCCAGTTCTTACAGGGCCAAGATGTTGCTTTGTACCACTGTTTTTAGTTTGAATTACACTTTTCATTAAAAGGAAGTAAATCTGCTTACAACTTGCTCCAGTTTGTGAGTAGAATTTCTGTAAAAGGCCAACATCCTCCCAGTGCCCTGCTGCAGGGAACAGCACAACAGGGCAGTGAATTGGGCTCTCTCTCAGGCAGAAAGGCTCAGCAAGGGAAACGCCACTGCAGGGACAGAAGCTGTAACATAAACACAGGAAAGGAGGACCCTGCTAAGCAGAGGGTGACCTTTAAAAGCACTGAGTATCCTTTGCCTTGCAGCCTTGCTGTGTGCCCATCAGTTGATGTTCTTGATTAGCAATGATGGTGAACAGTGGGAGCACAGGATAGGACTAACAAACTTGACATGCATCTGCTGAATCCCCAGCAGCCCACCTAGCATGCACAGAGGAACATACCTCTTTGGGAGGTTGTCAATAGATAAGGCCTGACAACAGCACAAACTGTTCAAATTCTGCCTCTGAGCAGCAGAAGTCCCCAAACCCTTATTGTTCAATTCATGCATAATGAAGATATTTAACTTAATCAAGCCTCTTTCCCTGGGTTTTTATCTACAGAAAGATGTGTAACTAGTAAAATTGTAGACAAGATGTAAAATGATGTATCCAACACTGCAGTCTTATCATAAGTAGTTCCTCTGCAAAGCAAATAGCTATCAATGCACACCAGATTACTTGCATAAATATTTCCTCTAAAACACAGCTAGCTTACAGTTATCTAAGGAGGAACCACTGCAGAAAAAAATTACAGAGAAATTTACTACTGCTAACTTCACTTTCTTCCATGCTATATCCTCTTAATAACAAACCAGATTGTTTCCCCTTACGTCTCCAAGCAATAAAGGCTTATTTTTGGATGAGGATGCTCTCAAGCTAGCTCTGTGAGAACCAGCCATGGCCCCAAAGGGCTCAGTACAGTGTGGAGACCTGGCTTCAAATCAGTACAGTCATGTTCATACACTGCTGCTTCAGGGTCCAAGATGATTCATCTACTGGAAAACTGCATTGCTATAAGGGCTGAACTGGTTTGGATAGTGCTAGCCAGGAGATGTTTCACATTGTTCTACTATACAGTGTCAACAAGCCCTGAAGGATTTGGACTGGGATGCTGGTTCCTGGCATCCTTAATTCTTTGTGTTTTTTCCTGTAGATAAACTTTAAGCAATTTTCAATCCACACACATCATCAGCAAACCTGATACAGCTTAGTGTGTAAGATCTAAATAGCAGCATAATTTTAATCACATTATGCAATTTTAAGTGGCTGTTTAAATTCAAGTTGCATTGATTTTAGGAGATTGCCTGAGAAACTACATTAGTTCAATTTATTCTCTTCCATTTTAAAGCTGCCACAGGAAAATGGTTAAACAGGATCATCACAGTAGATGTAACGGATCCTGATAAATGAAAGCAACATAATAATCAATCAGCCAGGACATATTACCCGAATATAAATACTTAATCCCTTCTTTCTTTTTAAAGACTGAGCAAAACTTTTCCCTTGCAATTTCTCTCATGTTTTCCTACAGATTAAGACATGTAAGAAGCACTTAGTAGTATTCTCAGGGATAATATACAATAACATGCATTGCAACTAAAAACTATGCTATACAAAATCCATGGGCCTCTCCTTTTTCATGATATTTCACTCCATATCTTCTCCATTTACAGAAAATAAGCCTTTAAAGGAAGTTGGAGTTTTCAAAACTTTGAGAATTTAGTTTTGGTATGAAAATATGACTTGCATTCATATGCTCTTGCAGCAAATGTCCCCAAAGTATTTGGAGTGTGAAACAGCAGAGGTTTTGAATTTTTATGAGGCAAAAGGAAATCAGAATTGAATGAAGGTTTAAATGAAAATGACAGTTTATTGGAATTCTGCCTTTGCAAAATGTTCATAGATCAAGCAGCAGATTTTTTTTTTATTTAGGAGAAAAATTAAATAATGAAGCAAAAATGGAAATCAGTCTCTGTAGAGCTAGATACACTGGTTCTCTGAAAATGGCTTTATCACAAACACACTTACAATAATGTCACAATAATGCAGTTTTTCTCCTCTGCTCGTAATAAATTTTTATTCCAATTTGCCTACAAATTTCTTAATTGAATAATAGGAAAGAGATGGTGTATTTCTTAGGTGAAGTTTTTCACCTGTTTCACAGGAACAACTTCACTAAATGCTTTCATGTCATGCAGGAGTGTTCAGCCTCTCTCTCTTGTGAGATTTGATTAATGCATGTCCTTTTAAAGAAGTGGCAAGATCAAGCCAACTTTATACAAATCCATCCAATTGATGCAAGTTTAATAGTAATCTCCTCCCCTAAATTAAGCAAAATGACATGCCAGAATGGAAGCAGTTCCAGCAGGAGTGTTTAAAACCAGAGGCAAGTTCTGATTTTGGATGCAGACTTAAAAAACCCAACATTGTGCTTTTTTCAGATACTTCAGGAAATCTTCCAGACAGAAGATACAATCATGTTACTGGAGAGATGCATAAAGGCAAAGGAGTATCCCCTGAAAGTGGCTCAGACCCGCCTGGAGGGAAGAACTAAACGACCCAATGTAGAACTTTGCCGTGATGCACCTCAATATCAGTAAGTAAAGGACAGGTTACTCTGTCCCATCCTTCATCAGCCACTTGAGAACATGAAACTTAATGAGTGTTAATCAGTTTGAGGAGTTTGGAATTGCAGTCATTACATTGTGATATGAGTTCTGGGAGAAAGAAGCAAAACCCAAGTAGCTATGTTGAAATAATGGGCTAAAACATGTTAAAGTTCCATGTGTGTAGTTGCCTTTAGAGTCCTTCTCCCAGGAGAGGTAAGAGCTCAATTTCTGTTGGTGGCTGTTAGCTTTTGGGATTCAGTCTCATGTCCAACTTGGGATTTAGGAGTTGATTTTAATTCCCTTCTGTATGAAACACAATATTTCACTTTAGGAGATACCTAATTTTTGAAACGTTATTCCATACAAAATTCTTTCTTTTGATGCAAAAAAATTATCTAATGGCCAAGCTCCTTAAAAAGCTAATTGCAAATAGGAATGATGCAGCATCTCTTATTGCATCAACACAGTGACTCCTGTATCATCTCTGTATGGGTTAGCTCACTTGGCATAAATTTTGCTCATCTAGCTGTGGGGGCTTCCCAGCACATGTTGGCATCATCTCGGTGATCCCTGTGCTATGGTCCTTTGTGTAGTGTGTACTGTGTCTTTCTGGATATACAAAAAGATGTCCAAGATACTAGCCTTCCTTCCTTAATGACTAAAAAAGGGTCTTCTACATCTTAATCCCATTTATCTCCCTCTAATCCAGTTAGAATACAATAGTGTTCCAAAAGAATCCTATTTTATTTAAAGTACTGTCTTCAAAATACTTGGTGGATTTTTTTTTTCCCAAGAAATACCACACCAGAGTTCCTCCCATAGCTGAATTTCATAGCCTAGTAAGAGAATTTTGCATATTTTCATGAAATGTAGAAAACTACTCCCTTTTTATTTTGTCTCCATCAAATTCCCACTATATATAACAGCTTCACATACAAGATAAATGAAGTACATCATGCTTTAAACTGAGTGTTTATATTTTTGCTAAACAGTGCTTTATAAGCTCAAAAAGCTTCTATTCAAACAAGGGCTATAAATCATAGTTGATTGTATTGGTATCTTTTGACTTCTTTAACTTGATAAACTGTAAATTGTAAAATGCAAGATATTTTTTCAGCCTCACATCTTAATCAGATCTTCACATTTCCTTTGGTGTATCCACATATTGATTTCTTCAACTTGACATTCTTGTCACAAAATAGTTTTGGGTCCGAATTCTTTCATATCCACTTGGATAGTTTTATTCACGTGGCTTTTCATAGCACAGAAATTGTGGCTGTTCTAGAACAGCTGTGAGAAACCACAAGTTCTGCTTGCACTGATGCATCCATTCACTGAGCAGTTACATTCACGATGGGATCATTTCCCACTTCAGTTACCCCCACACCATCAGTTTGGTATGCAAATAAGTTAGTATCAGAATTTTATTTAAAAAGCCTAAAGAAAATGGTCTTCAGTATTAACACACAGCTAATGCCTTGTACTCTTTTTTTCTCCCTGCTTCCTCCCTGAAGGGCTCTTCCACAAAAATGTCTGCAGCATTGTGATTGGTATCAGTCCAGTCATGCACACAAGATATAAAACTTGTTTGATTTAGGATCAAAAATATCCTGAAGCAGGGTGCCACATTATCCCTTCTTCCCATAATTGCCAGTGATGTTGTTAATGTTTTACACAGAACCCTTTGGAACAAGTTTGGAATCTTCATTTGAAGTCACTGGAACATCAGAATGTCTGAGTATTTTCTTCAATTAGAGTGAAAAGACATGAACACAACATACTTAAAAACAAAAAGCACACAAGGGTTCTGAATTAATCAAATTTCTAGTAGCTTCTAAGTTATGCAGGAGCTTCACAAGCTGTTACACAGCTATTCAGAAGTCTTTTAGGCTTAACATACAAGTCTTCTGTCACTCTAATATGGTTTCCAATATTTTAACCAAAATATTTATACAAATACATTGCTTACTAGCTGTAGTTATACTGACAGATAATTAGCTTATAATGTTCTCCTTCCTCCAATGCATAAGAATTTTGCATTTCCACAGACCCTCATCCAGACCAGGTTATATTGTTGGATGCTGTAGGTGATCCAAATACTTGGATCATCATAACTGCAATTAGAAATAGAAATTCTGACAGATTATTTGAAATTTGGACACTTCTTTCTATCACAGTTTTTTGGCTGAACTCCCATCTCAAATAAAATGTATTTTCTTAGAGAAAATCCTGAGAAAGTAAAACCATTTTCTAATTCACTTTTTAAGGATATTTTGCTTTTAAGTAATTTAAGTGTTATTTTTCTCATGTGGTTTAATGCAAGAAGGAATTCAGTCCTATAGCTCAATTGTAATAGAGAAAGAAAATATAAAAGTAACCACTTCTTTGTAATACGTAAATGTTATCTGGGTTTGCTGTTTATTTAAAGGGAAGTGCTGATGTTGGCACTTGTTCTCTGTGTGTGCTGCCAACTTTGTAGCTGAAGGGATTAGAGAGAAAACAAATTAATAAAGTCTAGTTTTTCAAGTTAAATCAACAAGTTAAAGTGGGTTCTGGAAAAATCAGTCTTATAGTCTATTATGCACTGCAGAATTAATAGAACATTAGACTAAGTACAAAGCTGACAGTGTTAAAAAGAGTTCATAATTCAGTGACTATAAGAGATTTCCACTGATATCTCCACTGATAAGCCAACAGAAGAAGCGTGGCTAGTATTAACTCACAGAAAATCTTTTTCAGAGCTTCACATTTGTTATTCTGGCAAGTGATTCTAGTTCAATTAGCAGACTTTTGTGCCAAATCTAGATAGTTTAGCACATCCTGCTGCACAAGTTTAAGCTATCATGAGCTACACCAACACTCTCCAGTAACATCCATCCCAAACATATTCTACAGGATCACATACAAGTTCTCAAAACATCAGTGCTACACAAGAGAGGCTGCAAGTGAAGAGCAATTAGAAAGCTACATCAAAGCAGAATGCCTTAATCTGCTGTTGGAGCTCAATGCAAGCAAGAAATCATAACTTCTTCTAGTTGTTATGCAAGCTAGTTTGTCAAATAGGTTTCATATGATTCAGTCCAAGACAGCTATTCAAATCCTTCCTGAAAGTGTGACCTGTCCACTGTCAAAACAGGAATGTGTTGAGGGACTCCTAAAGTTATATGAGCAACGTGTCCCCTTCTCTTTTTTCAGGCTTGTCACTGAGGTTTACACTATAGATGACACCATACAGTCCCTAAAGCAACGTCTGCAAGAAGCCCATGATACTCTGCAGATGCTGGTCCTCAACAAATCAAAGCTGGAACATGACATTGCTGTGAAGACAAACTCCTTCTTCATTGACAAGAAGTGCATGGACATGCGCAAAGTCTTCCCCAGCACCCCACGGCTCGTTGGCTACACCTGAACCCACGTGGCTTCAGCATCTTAACACATGATATACAAGTGGCAAAGGTTGCATATATTTTCTGAAGGAGATTCTTATTAGTTTTCTCAAATAATAAAGTCCTATAGAAATAAACTACTGAAAGTTGATGTCATGCCTCTCTCCTTCGAGCAACCCTGTATTCTCAACTATAGCTCCTATAAGTAAAATAGAATTAGTAGATTTATTCTAACACTATCAGACCATGCTGGAATCACCCGACAAATATTACAAGACATAGGAGTTACTAGCTAGAGAAAGCTAGGAGTTACTAAGCTAGGTACTAGCTGTACCTCTCAGCAGAATTAGTACAATACAGGATAACTGTTCAAGATAATGTGCCATCTGTGCTTCAGTCCTTGTCTCGAAAAGTCCAGCTCAAATGCTTACCCCATCCTGACACTCTCTTCCTATTCCACAGTGCTTCTTTTCATGTTTCAGTTAGAGAAGGCTGAACAGACTTGATTCACAGAAGATGAAGGGCAATTTCTCTACCTCTTTTATTCTTATAAGTTTGATTTTTCATGCAATTTAATACAAAGAAAATTTGACTATTTATATGAGCTATTTGTGACTGATGTGATTTTTGCCTGTCTGAAAGTTCTTAACTATTTAGAAATATACACTCTCCATCATTAGATCTCAAAGGATTTCATGAGCAAAGACAGAACCTCTGCTCTGTTGTTTCTAATGAGCAAGTTTAGACAAAGTGGGAACAGAACTGGCATCCAGGAACATGGTGTTCTTCCAATGTGCTGAAACTGTCCTTCAGTCTGTAAGTCAAAACTGCTCAGCTTTCTAGGTCTCAATGGAGCAGCTCCCCTGCGTGATAGGGAGGGTGGAATGGGCTTTCAGCTCTGACTTTTCTGGATGACAGTTGAAACACATTAACAGCACAATAATCCTTATAGAAAGATTTGAGGAAGAACTAGTTTTAACTAATGGTAAAACAGTCTGACTGCTTTGGACAAAAAGGAGCAGTGATGGTTTAATGTTCTTTGTGCTTCTTCCTGGATTCACTCACTCATTTATAGAGTAACTGGTAAACTACATTTCTAGCTGCTTCCTGCTACCTCAGAGTCCTCTCTACAGGGTAGCTCTAAGAACACACAGAACGCATATTACACTGGACCAAAGCCAAATCCAAAACAATGCTAGATTTGAAAGTCTCCTGAATAAACTGGCACTGTTCCGTGTCCTTTGTTTTCCGTGGGTGGTGGCTTAATCCAGCTACCAACAGCAGTAACGTTGCTGTGGCTGCTGGGCTGAGCTCTGCTGCTGCTTCCTGTGCACTAACCTCACTGTCACTGAGCATGGCTGTGGCTGAGCCATCCTTCATTCAGATTCTCTCTTTCAGTTAAAAAAAGTACTATCTCCTGGCTATTGTGTCAAACCACTTCCATAGTCATATGTTTTAAAGATTTTAAATAATAGGGAACCATTTTAGAACACAGGATTGAGAAGTGACTTGTGGGCCAGTTTCTGATACTCATTAGACCCATCACATGTTGACTACACTGCATCTTGATTTGCTAAATAAGGTTAATGCCATAGTCATGCTGCACATGACTGTGGAGAAGGCAGGCTGCTCTCTAATGCCAAAGGGTGGCATTTAGGAAGAAATGTCTCTGAATATAAGGAAAGTTCCAGAAATAATATGTTTGTATTGCAATATATGACTGCAAAGCAGTTCAGGGAGCCCTGGAGATGTGTTTCTGAAAATAGGAGGAGCTCTGTTACTGAAGACTTCACAGATAATTTGGTTTGAATTAATAGTCATAACCTTGCTATTTCTTACTCAGAAAAACTTCACAACTAAGTTCTATCACAGAACTCCCCCTTGGGACATGGCTTTAGGTGGGAGGAGTGAGGAATCTTGCTGTTTTGTTTCCCAGTAGGAAAGCTGTTACCACTGGTAACACTTTCCTCCCTCTCTATGCCTTTGTATGGAGGCAAGGGAGATGTTATCGGTTGCTTCTGTTAATACCAAACTTTAGAATAAAGCACTTGATTTGCATTTCATATACTATTTTTACAATCTATGAAGAATAATATTTATGTTGAGCTGTTAAACATTGACAATAGTCCCACCCTATTTATCAAATACTGACAGCTGACCAAGCAAGGGAGTAAAAATTATTTGGAAATTTGGATCTTCTTGAAGCCTTTAAATATATTTCTAGAAGTTGGAGGCATTCCCAGTTCACACAGCTAACTCTACTAGCTAGAAATACTTTCTACCCTTCTTATGCCAAGAACTCAATTAAGAAATATATAGCAGAAGGAAGGCACTTCTAAGAGCTGAATTCTTTTAACAGTTCTTGACAGAAGAAAAAGGGGAGGGGGGGGGTGGTGGTGGTGGTGTGGAAATCCTTGTCTGAAAACAATCAACATCAATGACATTTAGCCCTGAATTTCAAAATCTGGGGGCTTTGGGTTGGAGATCGTGGGGCTGAACAATAGTTCTGAACAGTACAAATTCCAGCTCCTTCCTGACTGTGCCTTTGTTCAGCAATATTCTCTCCAAGACCTCAACACTCCTTTTGGGTGGAGTGCTCACTTGGTACATTGTCACTGCAAACAGCACTGAACTTGTTTGAACACAGCATGAACTCCTGTAGAGGGTGACTGCCCAAACCACGGCCCCAGGACAGTGAGCACTGCTCTGTGGGAGCATCACTCTGCTTGGGAAGGGTAATTCGCTGGGATTCAGCTGCCATCAGCAAGGATACATTTTTAGAGCACTGCAAAAATAACAATATGGTACAAAAATCATCTTCCCTAATTATGACTGACCAGAGGATATTAAGTATATTATCTGAGTGGAAAAAAACCTGAGTGAAGGACAAGCACTTATCCTTCATTAGTGGTACCCACACGTGCAGTGCATACCATACATCTGCTTTTTAAACACAAACCCTTTTCTTTAGGCTACTGAAAAGGATGAGACTTCCATGGACTTCGGCTATAAAACCCTATAGATATCCAAAAAGGCTACATTTGCTTCCTAATAGTCAAGGTAGATAAATATTGCAGAAAACCTGGATTTTGTTCTGCCACTGCTTTACTGCATAAATGAACTTACACTCAGCCTCCAAAATGCAGTTAATCCCACTGGTGATGGGAATACGTCAAAGGAAACACATTGCTGACAATCATAAAGATACTCACTCAGATAAACCTGAGAATCTTTTAAAAAATCCAAACCAAATAACAAACATTTTCATTTTTTTTTCCTGTAGATATCTTTTTATGAACTAGATCATTAATTATTGTACTCACATGCAGCCACAGACATCAAGAAGCCACATCTATTATATTTCCATGTATAAAACCAGAAACTTGACACACAATTCCATACTCCTTGAAAGATAAGATCTGTTTTATAGCAAATAGACCAAGACAGAAAAGACCAAAACCTGTCCCTGCCTGTTTCAAACAATAAGATAATTTTAGTTCCAGACAAGCTATTTCCTAACATTATCTAAACTGTAGCTCATAAAAGTTTATGGACTCAACCTCCAAACAGAGTAAGAAAACAATGGATCTAAGTATCTTCACTAACAATAACCTCAGTTCAGTACCACAAGGTTACTGGTCATGGTGAAGGTAGGTCAGTTTATGCAAATCTCTTGGTAGTTTATTTTATTAAAGTTTTTTAAAATTAATTTAAAATCATAGCAAGGAAGCAGAATTTGCCATGTCCAGATTAAATGCCTTGCTCCACAGAATTTACCAGTGGTGTTCCCAGTCAAAATATGTGATCCTGCTCACATAAGTCTTTCCACTACAGCTACACTCCAGGTAAGACCTGGCATATGCCTTCATCACAGGATGTTAAAGTGTGACTAACAGAAGACAAGGAGTATTGACTGTGGAGACAAAAGAGCACTGCATCTGGGAATTTGCATTTAAATACCACTACAGTTTGGCAATATAGTTACACAATTGCATTTTTTCATAACATTATGGTATTTACATTTGTGAAGGGAGATAGCATAGAAGGCACCTCCTGACACCTGCCTCCTGCCCCTGTTCTCCTTCTTAATGGTATGTTTTGGCATTGCCATTTTTACCAAAATGGAAGAAATGTCCAGTTCTGTATTTACTTCTAGCACATTAAGGTCCACTAATGCAATAAGAAATCCCAGATCAAATGAAGAATATATGCCAACAGTTTGGTAACTAAATACTGTCTTGGGTAAGGTTATACACTGACTTAGACCTCTGAAATACACAATCTGAAGATATGAAGTTGAAGTCAAACCTTCAGGTCTTCACTCTGCAGCTGCTTCAGCAGCACTGATTTCTCAGAATCACAGAACAGCTGCTGCTGGAAGGGACCCCTGAACTTCACTTAGCTCATCCATCCCCTTGCTCAGAGCAAAGCCAACCAGAGCGCATTGCTCAGTGCTATGCCTAGTCAAGTTTTGGCTACTACAAAGCACAGAGACTTCACAACCCCTCTGACCTCACAGTAATTTTTTTTTTTCCTCAAGTTTAAATAGAATTTTCTGTATTTTCACTTGATCTTCCTCTACCAAGTGCAAGTCTCCATTGACCCAGACCCTCCCACTGGTCTCAAGGACCTCAAATTTCTGAGGACATATCTTACTAGTAAAGACCAAGGGTGAAGGAGGCACTGAGTATCTCCTTTTCCATATGGCTCTCACAGGGTCCCCTGCCCCATACTTGCAGTGGGCCCACATTTCCCCTAGTCCACTGTTCCTGATACACTTGCAGATGCCCTTCTTGTACCTGTTCATGTTCCTCTCATGCATCTCTGTACTCCTCCTGGGTGACCTGACATTGCCTCCATCTCTTGTATGGATCTTTTTCATGACATTTTCAGCTTATTTCTGCATTTCTTCCCCCCAAATTCTTTCAAGAAGGAAACTCATCCCAAGGAGACTATAGGCTTCTTTTTAAACCAAGGGATTCAATTCTCATAGTAAAGGCACAACTAGTTTCAACAATGAAAA